CTTATTCTGGGAGTGCATTCAGAGAGAGTCATACCCATGAGACATCAACCAGCCCTTGGACTTCTGCTACAATACATCTGGAAGCTGTTCGATAACTCTGGTGCAGAAAGGAAGAATTAAAAACTGCACAAGTACCTTGTATTAGGGGATCTTTTCAGCGTCAGAGTTCTTTATTTTACAATGTCAAAATGTGCTTTGGGATTTTTTTCATTTCTTTTTTGTGGTTTGGGTTTTTGTTGGTTTTTTTTAACATCATCTTCTAAGAAACTGAGGGACAGAGAAAGCAATCACATAGAACTGGAATGACCCTATAAGAAGTCAGAGGCATTTGCACCCTTATTTCCACAAAAAAAGCCTCCTACCATATGAACTAATTAAGCAAGCAGTAGTCATAGAAGTCCTTGAGAACGACCTGTTGGAAGAGTATCAAGAAAAACACCTTACCACAGGATTTCACAGAAAAGTAACTGAGGGATGTGGAACCCCAGCATTCATTCCCAACTGTTTTCTTGCAGCATTATACAGTTCTGTACTTGTGGCACAGACCATCCCCTTGCCACTATTAAATATTCCCCTTTCAACTCTACAGCTGTCAAAATAAGTTACTGTAAGGAAAGTCCAGCTCAGTCCCCAGTGTTTATCCTGTTCTTGGAAATGGGTTGAACCACTTTATCTCATAACAAACACAAAAAAACCCCACCAACCTTGCCCAAAAGGAGCACCACATTTTTAAAAATTCAGTCTGTATTTTTATAATTTCAAATGAGTTACTTATAGGACTTGACCATGTAATATATGGCAATGTTAACTCGAAGTCAAAGAATAAGCTCAGTGGTATTTCAGCATGTCTCTGTCAAAGACTTAGTTTTGAGCTTAGCTCCATGCACTACACGTTGCCAAAAAGCTGACTTCTCAGCAGGATGAGGCCGCAAGGTATATAGCAGCACAATGACAGAATAATCCCAAATGAAAGCAGGCTCAGAACTACTGAATGACAGGCCAAATGTCCTTATTCTGATGCTACAGGTTAATTGTCTGGCATGCCATGAAAGTCTAAGGGTGAAACATAATTGGAGTTCAGATATCTGCATTTAATAAGACAATTAGTTACAGTTGTATTTTGGGACAACTGTAATTAGAGTTATAGCTAATGAGCTAGGAAAATGACAAGCGAAAAGCTATCAATCACATTAAATGTGAACGTAAACAATGATGAAAATGCTTCTCTTGTTAGTTTCAAATGTACTTTTAATTTAAGTCTGTTAATTAATGTCTCATGGGTATCAGTGTCTCTGTAGTTATGGAAACCTCTAGTTTAACAACAAGCATTTTTATCTACTGAGATGAATGTCTGATCTTATTATAATTAATTTCTAACTATTTAGAACAAATAGGAAGGAACTGTGAATTCTGAACATATACAGCCTCCAAGGATATCTATCTGGTGACAAGCCTAACATCTCAAAACTCACGCTTGCTCTTGCTGTTGTTTCAATCCACTGTACAGCCCCAAACCACTTCTGCCACAATAAGAATTTCCAATAGTATCTACCACTACCAGAGACATAAAAACCCTTTCAGAAAGTATCTCAACCAACCTTTTGGCACCAGGAAGAAGGATCTGGGGCAGCTTTAGATGCCTCAGGTGTTGGTTAGCACCCTGAAGCAGAGGTGGGAGAAGGGAAGACATCCTCATCCTTAGCATGTCACCATGTGGTATCAGTGTAACCCATTTTCACTGGGGATCTGGGGAAACATGCTAGGGCACTGATGGAGGCAGCTGAGAAAAAGACTGGCATTCCCTTCTGCCAACCCTTTGCTGGAGGTGGTGACCTTCAAGAGGTTCGAGGAGGAGCACAACCCATTTCTTTAAGGATGAAGCCAAATTAGCACAGTAAAACAGGAACTAGCTTTTCTTTGCAACAGGAGAAGTTTAATGGGTTGTCAACCGTAAGTGACATTTTAAACACGTTTTTTGCTAAATACCTGCATTAAGATATATACACAGTATTTTGATATAAACAGTATCCATTTTAATTTGCTGTAAGTCAGTTCAAAATTGATTTATTTCCAAATAAACAGAAATCCACAGAGATTTGAAAATATTAATCTGAGTCAATTTAAAACCAATTAATTCAACTGATGCAACTTTCTTAGGCGTATACAATAAAATACTACCTGTGAGAATCTGAGACCACCTACTCATGCATCTGAGACCACCTACTCATGAATAAAAAGATGGGGTAAGAGAAAGGAGCAACTGGAAATGGAAAGTGAATGACCGTTAATGTTCCAATTACCCACTGAACCACTGTTAATAATGCTGAATATGCTATCATCCAGTTTTTCCTCTTGAGTAATGATAAACAAAACCGATATTTTGCAAGAATAGCCTCCAATTGTCACCTATGTGGGAGGGTTTTTTTGCTGTTGTTTTGGGGTTTTTTTGTACACTAACGTAACATGATTTTGGCCCTTGCAAAAAAAATGTCATTTTCAACTGAGGAAGCCATATTTTTTTAATAATAAGTCCCTCACACTAAACATTTACTATTGGAAATAAGGAGCATTGTATAATTACATAGACACTATGAACCCTATTTCAATGCAATGACTCTTTATGCAGCATTACCTACAAGCAGAAGGGTAAAAATGAAATCAGCACATTGGTTGATGCAACTTTCTACATCAAATAAAGTTCCTGTTTCAAAAGAAAAATTCTGCCCTACTTTTTCAAGGAATTAACTCTACCATGATAAGGGCAAAAGAGGAAGTAGTAACAGCAAGTATTCAACATCAACTGCTTGGTGTCAACCACGATGGAAAATAAAGGTCACACAGTAACACTTCCTGAGGTGCTGAGAATTTTTTCTCAAAATTCCTTTATTTTCCCTCTTCCACCAGCTGATACAGTTCCACCCAGAAGAGTCAGACAATGTCCTGGATCACATGAACACACCAGATGATGCCTCAGGCAGAGCTTATGTTTCAGTAGCTGACAGAACAGGGTATTTCATAAGGTCAAAGTGGGCACAGCCTCACCTGTGTCAGCTGTTCTTCTTTGGCATTTACTTATGGCCAGCAGTTCAAGCTAGCCATGAGCAATCCTCTTCCACGCTACAGTAAAACTAATTCCAGTATGCCATTCTCTAGGACTGCCAAACAAAAAAGCAGCCCTAGAAAATGTATTTTCTTAAACCTTAGAATCAGCAAGTTGTCAATGCTTTCTTCAACAGTAGCAATTCAAGGCATAATTATGAGTTTAAGACCACCAAGTCTGTAATCAGCAATCCAAGTGTGTTTCAAAAAACATGCCCATAACTATAAGCACACACATGCAAGTACAGGAATGCTTCACTTTCATAGTTCTACATCTTTCAATTGTAATGCAAACATTTTCAGTCCCATCTGGATTTAAATAAATCTGTTATTTATAATTAAGTTGTTCAAATTTATAAGGAGACAACAGATGCATTTCATAAGAGAAGTCTAGTGTCTCACCTAAATTATTTAATTGTGCAATTAATTTGGTAGTCAATTTGTTGGCTGAATACTAGGACGGGGTTTTATTCCACCACTTCACTCTTGAAAGACACGGACTTAAAAGTTTTAAGAAGGGTAACTGATATTTGTGTGGCCATGTGAGGTCACATAAGACTTCAAACTGTGCAGTGAAAACAGTTCACGTGCTGCCGTGAAACTCATTATAATATCGGGTTTACACTGTCTTCAAAATATGCTCTTAAATATCTTACAACCTTCATATCCCCCATTACAATTGTGCTCACAGACAGAATAAGGTTAGTTAAGTGACGCATCATGTCTGATTCCAGGAAGAATGATGTGCAGAGCTGGCATGCACAGCTAGGTTAAAGGAAAACCAGTGATCACTAAGCTTCTTACGTTCAGATGTGAGAATTTAATCTCTCGTAAGAAAATGCCGGATGTCATGTAGATTGCAGTAGAATTTATATTCTTTTAGAACTGATTTCTTAAGTGACAGAGGCAGGAAAAAGAAAACAAATCATATATACTTGACAAGAAAATAAATGTTGACTTATTAGCTGCTGAGTCACAGGGAAAAAAATCCTACAAATAAATGATACAAGCTGAAACACACCTTTTATTGGCTGCTTGAGCAGACTAAGCTCTTAGATCTTTTTAAAGCTAAGTAAATAAAGACTAAATGAGTTTGAATGCATTCTACTTAAAGGCTTCGTGTTAGCATTTTGACTTTTGGTCTTCATGCTGTTAAGCTCAAGAAGATAGTTCTAAAATCACTAATGGAACAAAACTGAAGGTATTGGGAGTGAACAGCATTCCTTCACCCTGCAGCCAGATTCACCCATGCAAAGAAAATTTCTGTATCTCTGTCCAAGCTTTTGTAATTTGTTCCCAGTCCTTCTAAGAGATATGCATTCATTTTCCACATCCATTTCCACCCAAAATAAATGCATCTTGAGTCTCTAAAGAATTTGTTGGTGGTTTTTTTTTAAAAAAAAAAAGAACTGATTACACTGAAATGAAACTTAAAATTTGCAGGCAAAGATGACAAAAGGTGAATGTCATGGCTGAACTCCAGAGGGCTTCAAGTAAATTTCTTAAATGTGTTTAACTCCATAAAGATAATTCTTCCCTGTGGCTCACTTACTAAAATTGGGAAGAGCTTTTTCTGCTATAATCTTGATTCTTCAGAGATACAAACTCAATAGCTCTGTAGCACAAACCTTGAACTTTTTCCCTGAACAGAACTCAGAAGCGTCAACTGATTGAGTAAAACCAGCAGAAGTCCTGCAGGGAAAAACACCCTCACAAAATCCATAAGCAAACAGCCACATCCCTTCACCCCCACCCGTAACCCAAACCAGACACGTCAGTATACCAGAGAAGAAAAATATCTGGTTTAAATTATGTCTTAGAACACACTGTATCTAAAAGCTTAGTATTCACAAGATATGTCAGAACTGCATGTGTGTATATTCCATTAAAGATCTGCTCACCTCTCCCACAACTTCAATGATGTCACCAACTTTTAATTCCAGTTCATCTTCATTTTGAGGCATATAACTGAAAGCCACCTGACATCTTCTTCTTCTGTTTCTCTCTCCTGGTGGAAATGAAGGAAACAGGGAAATTGTAAAATGAAAACAAAATTCCATGCCAAACACAAGCCAGGGGAAATGATTTAAAGATGAAATATTATTTTTTGAGCACTATTAAAAGAATCTGAATGTTTGCAATGGGGATTTTTTTCTTTCTGTAATATTATTCAAGAGCCAAAATTTAACTAATAGACTGTGCTTCCTAGTGTCAGGATGGACAAACTTTACCCAGAGGATCTTTCCAGGTGTATTTGCTACGATTTCTCTTCTAGGCTAGTGCTCTATACACATGGTGTAGGCAAATGCAGAAATTGGAGGGCTGGGGAAGGGATCCAAAACCTTGTGGCTTTTGCTCATACGGAAATAAGCTCTCAGCTGATTATTTTGTCCTGTATCTTTTTCTCCATAATTCTTTCACAGGTGTATAAACATCTCACTAACCTTTTTTTTGTATATATTCTTTTACATACACACACACAGAGATATATATGTATGTATATGTATGTATACACACATATTTGTAAGGTGCATATGTATGCACCAATATCAGATTAAAGAAAATAGAGGGAAAACTCATCCCAAAGGACCCCCAAAGCTAGGTGTGTAATTGGGTTAGTGTGGTTAAGACAGGCTGATTTTGATAAACAGCCAGCTACTGGAGATGATGTTACCAGCCATCTTTCTCTTCAGCTTGGATATCCAGGCTTCCATGAGAAGCTGGTATGAGGGTGTATCTTTGGATGCATGACTGGAGAGAGGCTTAAATTCATAGCTCTGAATAAGAGTAAGATCCCTTAACTTGACCCTACTGCCATCACAGTTTTAAGACAGAAAAATGAAAAGAATCAGTTCCAGAGCTTTGTTTGCCAGATCCGCTGGCTGACATATAATTATAGTAATCTGATTTGTAGCAGACCAGATAAGAGAACTTCCCTAAATCAAGTTGCCGAAGCTTGCTGCTCAGCCTCTGTTAGCTGAAGGACAACTTACATGAATCACGACCATGTCGGAATGTGGTGGAGGAGGAGAAGGTAGGAAGAGAGAAATCATTCAAAACACAGGATTCACTGATTACTCTCTCTTCTCTAGAGGACGTGCAATGTATAAACCATACTATGTCATATTTATATACATGTATCCACACAAACATATATACACACACTCTACACAAGTCAACGTACTTTCTCTTATGCTATTCCTCTTAACTGTTAAACATGCTCAATACATAACAAAATCAGTTGTGTAAACACTGTCCAAGAACGGCCTCAATCTGACATTAAATTACAGAAATGGATCTTATGGTCAGTCTCTTATTTCCCCTGCAACATTTCTTGATAATCCTGCTCTAGGGCGAACAGTAATAAAAAAATCACAGAACTTTTTTTTTTTTCTAAACTATTAATTGAAACTGGAGAAAGAAGGGAGAAGAGAAGCCATTGAACTTAGCTTTCTGACAATACTTTCCATAGCCACTGCAATCCTGCATGAGTGGCAGCTTTTTGAATGTTAAAATTAAGACCTTAATGCAATGTAACCAAACTCGCTCAAATTGGCTCTTTTTTCCACCTACAGATGACTGTTTGTTCTTCACCATCTAAACTAAAATGGTCCTAAATTGACAACTTTACACAGCTGCATTCAAAATAACTTAAACATAACAAATACCTTCCATATTGAATGCTTCTTTCATTGTGCAAAAGAGACTGGCTATTTTCCCTAAAGATAACATTCCCACTGTGATTTCTAACATCAAGTAGCAACTGATGTGCTGGTGTTGCCTGATGTGAAAGATGTCAGTTGCCACCCTACTTAATAATCAATATTGTGTGACTCTTCGAGAATATTTTTGAGATTGCTAAGAGAGTAAGAAATAAACACAATTCTGCATGTTAATAATAGAACTACATGAATCCTTCCCTCTCCTACCCCACAATGTTTTTTTTATTACTGTATAAAAAATCTACCAAAAGTCTGCATTTATCTCCATCAGTCTCAAGGTTGTCTCACTGCTCTCCCTCTCCTCCCAAATATTTCTCTAAAGAAATACCTAAGTGAGAGTAGCAAGCCAACAAGAGGCTTAGACTCTATGTACCAAGCAGTTCCTCTCTCTGGTCTAATGCAAGGCAACAGATCCAGCAGCGAATCCCTTTGGTTTTAAGGAGAAGGTGCTGCTGGACTTCATTTCCATGCTAATGTTTGGAGCACTCGAGCAGAGCATGAGTTATGTGATGAGCTCTATGGCCAAGGGGTATCTGTTTTTTCTTACACTAAAGCAACCTAGGTAATACAGCAGTATGAGTATTCTAAGAAAACAGAGCTGACAGGAAAAGAAGTCAGAGTAATCAAGTAGCGCATACACAAAAACTGTTAGTACTAAGAAAAACTCTGGTTTTGTAAATGCAATATTCCCACCCTAGCATCACCGATTTTTTTGTCTGTTTCTTAACTAGCACAAAGTGTCCAAAGGCAGTGTGGTCAGGAACCAGAAAGACCAACTGGGACAACTAACAAGCCGTTTAAACAGAAACACTGAAGTCTTGGTCTTTTCTCGCCATTTCCCCTTTTGCTAATATTGCCACTTATTGCAGAGTATTACTACGGTCTATGCTTTTACTGCTAGTCATCCGAGATCTAAATGGCACACTGTGACTTTAAAATGTAAGTAATTTGACCAATTGATGTAAAGTTAATTTTAAACTACATAGGGCAGCAATTCTGCAATGAAGACTGCAGATAGTTTTCTAATATAATCCATTTTTTTCTTACTTGTAAATTGATGAAGAAAATATTCTGTACGTGTTTTTTTTGCATTTTTCTCCACAGTTGAGCATAAACTGAGTTACCTGCAAGTGAAAAGTTACTGAGTGCTGAAAAGACAGGTAATAATCTCAGTACTTCAAATCAGAAAAGGTGTGCTGCAAAGTCTTCACTGGGTTTTGAAAGGCTTAAAAGAAGAAAAACAAAGGGATCAATGAACTTTTACTGGCCCATGTATAACAATTTGTAACAAGTAACCTGCTGCAGGCAGCACCACACTGCGCTCTGCCTGCTGGTTGCAGTTCTAGGCTTTTTCATTTCCCATAGCTGTGGCACAACATCAAAAGTGTTTTGAAGGCAAAACGCCTATGAGCTGCAGGTCGGGAACTAACCAAGCTACATTTTATTCAGAACAAGCTATCATACAGAAATAACGTCACTCACCCTTGTAAAAAACACTGGCTCCCATTTACATAGTTATAATGAAACTCAAAGGAAAAAGATTCTCATCTAGTTTGTGCAATCTGTTCTTAAGATAAACCAGGCAGCTACAGAGAATTTGCTGTGTGTGTACAAGGGGGATAACAAACCAGCGGCTACAAAGAGTATTGCATCCAAAGCGATGGCACCAAGACCTCAACAACTGTGCTGCAGAGCATGTCTGCCTCTGCTCCGTTCCCTGTAAGGGCTGTGTCAAAGGCACTGAACCCTTACAAAGTGCCTGCAGATCTAGCAAGGGAGGAAAGACAACGGACCTTGCATGCATTGCAAAAGGTGTCATGTCACAACGCGCCTTAAGAGTGATACTGGCTGCCTCCTTATTTGCAGCTGTTGATGGCCAACTCCCGCTCACTCTACCTGAGGCTAACCTTCCCTCTGCCCTGAGCAGTGAACAGCTTATCTGATTATTCCCCAAACACTTTCACTCAGAGCAAAACTTGGTAGCTTAGCAGTGTAAACAACAGGTTTTGCTAAAACAGCTCCTTTCGGTCTTCATCCTAGATTCAGCCATCTCTCACTGTAGGTGTTCCTGAGTCGGATGTATAAATCTGAGACTATCACTCAGTAGTGGAGAGAACCTCATACCTCCAGAGGGTATTTAGTGTCACTGTAAAATAGACAACTAAGATACAACAGATGAATGACTCTCTGGAGGTGACTTTTTCTACTGCTGTGGCTAGATCAGACTTCAACCTCTAACTTTAAAATGCCTCAAGTTGAGTCAAATGGAAAAAGGAATGAATGTATATTTAGACACTTGAAACAAACAAACAAAAATCTTTGAGGGTACAAATCTAATTAATTTCAAAGTGGTGTTTGATCAGATTCTAAAAACAGTGTGGTTGCCTGTGACAGCAGGAGACCATAAAGGGGCTTCCTCCAGCTGTACACATGCAAGAGAGAGAATGATTTCTAGGCATTTAAAAACCCCTCTGGCATTAGCAATGAAGACAAAAAAGAGGCAATGACAACATATTGTCATTCAATGCTTACCTTTGTAAGGGGCACCAAAAGCTGAGGCAACGCTACACAAGAAGTCACACTGGTACACATGCTGCCATCAGACCCAGAAAAGGTCACAAACTGGCAATGCAGGATTTGATGAAAAGTGTGGCAGCAGCAGACTAGATAGGAAACAAACTATTTCAAAATGGACTGGAATTTTCAAATCCAAACTACTTTTCTTGAACTTAAAACCTCCGTCATGAAACAGATGCTTATATAAATGTATGCATGTGTGAGTGGGTTATACGGTGGTTTCTACAGAGCCTACTTTTCACTGATGCCAATGTCTTTGTAGTCTGTCCTCTCAATGAAAACCACACGGTTAACTTCACTAACAGAAGGTCCATCAAATCTACATACTAACCCACTTTTTTCCCACTGCTTGTGTGGAAAAGTACAGCAATCTGTTTTGTAACACAGGACAACTATTCTGTAGAGTCAAAAAATTATATTCAATCAAAAAACTTCAGAGAACAGACCCATGGAGCAAATGTCTGTCCCTCTCCCTGCTGAAAAGGTATACCTAAATGGTTGACAATCTCTTCAAAATGAATCCCCACAGTTTTGTAATTGGATCTGTTCTAAAAAGAGATGTATCGATATCTTTGTGGCTCATACAATCCAACCCAATTGTTCCTGGATTTCTTTTATTATTGTTTTTTAATAAAGGAGTGTTGCTATGGAAATTGCATGGGTTAGGTTGGGGACTGAGTCAAGGTTTCCAGCATCAGGAGCCTAAAGA